TCTTTATATATATATATATATATATATATATATATATATATATATATATATATATATTTAAAATAGAAAGAACAGCCTAATTAATTTCAAGCCACATGGGGGCTTACTTTCCATTACTGTATCCATTGTAAACATTTGATCCATATCCATATGGGTCTCCCACTCCATTATTTGATTTTCCTAATTTAACTCGAAAAAAAAATAATATTTTTACGTAAAACTGTTTAGATCAACAACTAACCTCTGAATTTCATGAAATTTAATAAAATCAGAACGAAATAAAAGAAATTTATAATACTTTTGTAATTTTATTACAAATAAGTAATATTATTAAGTATTCCATGAAAAAAAAATATGTAATAAATTAATCAATAGGATACATATATAAAATCATTCAACATACAGATTTAATCGGTTAAATGCAACTTGGATAAGTTAACCAATAATAAATTGAATATAAACAAAACAAAACAAAAAACACTTCTAATATTTTTTTGGCTTGCGGACCAATCATTATACGCAAGAAAAATTAGAGATCACATTTTACCAAGAAGATTGAGATTGTGAATATATAGAGACTGATTTACAATTTCAAATATATTCAATATTATTATGAAATAAAACTTTTATTTGGTGAAACTAAAGTTTTAGTGTTGAGATTAAATGTGTAATAAATAGGTTATTGTGGAATAAAATCCTCTATATATAAAAGCACATGCCAATAACAATCTGGTCAAATTCTATTTTGTAGCTGGTGATGTAATCCAAAGAATTTGAAGGGAAAAAAAGGATTCCAGTTTCCTTGTTACAAAAAAATGATACGTGTGATGCAAATCCTCTGTATTATTAATTATGTTTATCATTTTAATGATATAAACTAATAAAAAAAAAGTTGGCTTCTCATAATGTATTTTCTTATTTAATTACAGAAAGAAAGACGGTATTAAACGAACGGCTACGATGATGTGTGTGTGAGAGAGAGAGAGAGACCGCGTCCATATGAGAGTTTAAAGGCAAATGTCCCACCTCTGTCCCCTGGTTTTGGGAACAACTCTGCCTCTCTCTTGCCCCATATGCTTCCGACCATGTCCCCCCTTCTCCCTCTCTCTCTCTCTCTCTGTCCTAACATCAAAGCAATTCGTTTCCTTATATAACCCGTAAGTCCTCCATTTGAATCCCACAAGCAAACTCCATTCTCATTTATTTTCAAGATCTGTCCTTTCCTTTCAATCAACAGAGAAGCAACACCAAGAAGAAGAAGATTTGTATCTTCATCTAAAACCCCGAAACGAACATATTCAGAGAGCTTGAACTGGATATGGCTTACGAGGTAGTTAACGGGCTCAACCTCAAGGATACAGAGCTGAGATTGGGATTGCCGGGCACAGAGGAAAACAAAGAGCGACATGTTTCTTGCGTCACAAGCAAGAAGAGGTCGTTCGAGAGCAAAGACGATCAAGATCAGAACCAAGCGTATTCACCTCCTACGAAGTAATTCCAGATCTGGGTTTTCGTTACTTTTTATCGACAAGTTATTACACGATGCGTGTTTCCTTCTCCTTTGTACTAACCCAGAATCTGTCTTTCTGCAGAACACAGATCGTGGGTTGGCCTCCGGTCAGATCTTACCGGAAGAACAGCGTTCAAGCGGGGAAGAACGAGCCTGAATTCCCCGGGATTTACGTGAAAGTCAGCATGGATGGTGCACCGTACCTTCGGAAGATCGATCTCAAGATGTACAAAGACTATCCAGATCTCCTCGATGCTTTGGAGAACATGTTCAAGTTCACCATAGGTCAATATTACAAAGACATTCTCACGCTTGTGTCTGAAAACTGTGTTAAAGATTTCGTATCCCTAAACGACGTTTTCCCGGTTATATTTCAGGCGAGTATTCGGAGAGAGAGGGATACAAAGGAACTGGACACGTACCGACGTACGAAGACAGAGACGGAGACTGGATGCTCGTTGGAGATGTCCCGTGGGACATGTTCTCCACGTCTTGTAGGAGACTAAGAATCATGAAAGGCTCTGAAGCAAGAAGAGGGTTAGGTTGCGGTGTGTGAGAATCTTACAAGGACATAGATATATGAATGGTTACACAATCTATTGGCTTGCTGTCTCAGTTTAAAAGAGAAGTAAAGTCTATGGGGCAAATGCTGGATAGCCTTTTTGATAATGGTCTGTCGATGGAGAAATGCTGGATAGCCTTTTTGATAATGGTCGGATGTGACCGGAGATTCGGGTTTCCGGTCGACGAGATGACAGTTGCATTAACCTTTTTTACTTTCGGGATTTTTAGAAAAAATTCCTGGAATTCATGTAAAAAAGAAAGATGATATGTATAATACGGACGTATATACTGTAGATGTGTATACTCAAAAAAGCCCTGTTCTGTAAGGGTAGTTTTTCTATTATTAATATCACCACATACGGATATATTTATATGTTTTGGAAATTCTTGGAAATCCTTTTCTTTCTTTTTTTTTCACCCCGAATAAAATCAAGGAATTATACAGAAAAATGTATATTTTACTTTTTAAAACTTTGCAAAATCTTTGTATTAATATAATACTTTTTACAAGTCCAATGTTTTTCATTATCGAATTTTGCTCTTTTGATAACGGAGCTTTTTGTGTTCATCAGCTATTGATTTGTTTCTATCAAATGCGATGATCCGTCACAGGATATTTAGGTAAATATGGAATAATTTAACGGATATCACCATTCACCAAAATAAGTTTTTCTTTTTTCCCTGTGGATGGCAAAAGCCTTCTCTCTCCCAATCAGTTGCTCCACCAACTGGGGAATCCACTTCCTCTCACATCGATTTCTTCGTCTTCTTCCTCTTCATCGTGCACTCGCTCCGTCAACCACTCTCTCGCGACCCATCTCTCTCTCACGGTGCTCTTCGCCCCCTTCTCTCTCTCTCTCTCTCTCTCTCTCTCTCTCTCTCTCTCTCTCTCTCTGTGTGTTTGTATGGTTCGGGTTGACGAAAATGGATGATTTTGCGTAGTGGGTATTTTTCTATTCGATCGTTTGTGTGCGAAAGTTCCGTTCTTTGATCACAAATTTTGAAGGAGGTTTTCTATTTGATGAAACTGGATAATGCTTAGTGTCTATATCACATTCGATTGTGGGTGATGAGCAAAACTGAAACTGATGAAGCAGTTGTGTAATTCGTTTGATATTCGGGGTTTTATTTCAATTGGATCATCTCTTTTTCCTTCTGTAGTTTGGATCTTCTGAAACGATGAGTTTAGTGGTTCATCATCGACCCTCTGTGTTTCTATTTACCAAATAACTCCATTTAGATAGGGAACTACCCGTAGCTTGACCCATTTGTTATTTCTGGCTTATTTCAAGAACTTGTCTCAATGGCTACATGTTTGCTTTGATCCTTCATTCAGTTGCGACGGTAACTTTCGAAGAGTTGTGACCATGGATTCTTCAGGAGCTGAATCTCCGAAAGAATTCCCGGTCGGCTTGGATATAACAACTGAGGAAGATTATGCAGAGCACTCTAAGTTACTTAAGGAGTTCACTAGTATCCCCAGCATTGACAGGGCATGGATTTTCAAGTCTAGTGTTGGTATGATGGTTTATATGCTCATGTCTCTGTCTGAAATGCTTTAGTCTCTTAGTTGTGATCTAAATAATCTGTATCTATCATCAATTGGCATTTACAAATTCATCTCGACATGCTAACACTTTCTCTCTTGTTTTACTCTCTGGCAAACCGACTCAGCTGTGAAAATTATGGTGCAGGTTCTCAGGCAATGTTTGCTATGAGTCAAGCAAACCTTTTGGCTAATAAAAGGAGAAAGTTTATGTTATCGGGCCAAATCTCGAAAGAAAGTAACGGTTCTGTAGACTTCCATTGGGCTCCCTTTCCTATCGAAATGTCTGGTGCATCGGCTTTTATCCCTTCCCCATCTGGTTTGAAGCTACTTGTAATTCGGAACCCCGAGAGTGAATCTCCTACCCAGTTTGAGATATGGAATTCGTCTCAGCTAGAGAAGGAGTTTCACATTCCTCAAACAGTTCATGGCTCTGTATACGTCGATGGATGGTACTTTTGTGAATATCTCTCTTATTGGCTGATGCTAATCTCTGGCTCTGGTGTAGTAGAACGACTTGATAAGTGATGCAATGTCATGCAGGTTTGAAGGGATCTCTTGGAACTCGGACGAAACTCTTGTTGCTTATGTTGCCGAGGAACCATCTCGCCCCAAACCTACGTTTAACAATCTTGGTTACAAGAAAGGGAATTCTTCGGATAAGGATTGTGGAAGCTGGAAAGGTCGAGGAGATTGGGAAGAGGAATGGGGAGAAGCTTATGCTGGAAAAAGGCAGCCTGCGTTGTTCGTTATCAATGTGGACAGGTCTCATCAATCCTTCTCTGGACCTTTGGAAAGAATGATTCTCCTATGTCTGGACAACGGCTGCCATGACCACTCAGTCTAACATTCTTCTCTTTGTCTTAACAGTGGAGAGGTTCAACCTGTCAAAGGAATCCCAAGGTCGTTAAGTGTTGGACAAGTTGTGTGGAGCCCATACGTTAAAGGCTCGGCTCAATATTTGGTTTTTGTGGGGTGGTCAGGCGATAAAAGAAAACTCGGTATTAAGTACTGCTATAACAGGCCTTGTGCACTATATGCAATTAAGTTGCCAGATTCTACGTTAGGGTCAGAAGGATCCAAGTGAGTGTATGGTTTAGAATTCGTTTTCGGGCACTTGATCATCCTAGTTTTGAAAATGGTCTTAATCTTGTCTCGGTTAAATTAAATATTTCCTTTCTTTACTTGTTTTCCAGAGAGGGTTCAAATGAAGCATTACCCTTATACAATTTGACAAAGAGTGTAAGCAGTGGTCTTTTCCCTCGGTTCAGGTATATAACTTCCGTCGAATTCTTCATATGGATTCAAAGTCCTGCTGTTTAGTAACATTTTCCTGTCTAAAATACTATGGTTTGCCTCATATACCTCTTTCGTCGACAGTT